AGACTGTAGACAGTCAGTCTCAGTGAAGTGGCAGTTTATTGGTACAGATGTGGATAAATATAACAAAGACTTGAGGACTTCACAGAATCGCTGCTCAGCCACTGCAAGCTTTTCAACTTCTCATTTCATTTACACGTCAAAGAAATATGAGTTACTGAAATGTGAAGTGATGAGCCGTTCCTCTAAGAAAAAGCAACAGTTTACCTTCAGATCTCAGTCCTCAGGTGAGAAACAAAGAATATGACGAACTGTTCCTGATCCAACAAATTGCATTTGTTCATTTTAGGATTTTTCTCCCTAAAAAGCAGGAAAAAACAGAAAAACACCTGGAAATGACGGGAAAACCACAGTGATAGGTATATTTGTTTTATCTCTCAACAATCTCTTTATACAACTGTCTGTTTGTTTGAGAAAACAAGACCAGGTCAACACCTAGTCTACGTCTGGTCAAATCATGATTTTATAACTGTGACGTCGTCTGACAAAATCACCAAACCCATCAGTAAAAGACAAACACTGAGCTGCGTTTTCAGCTGTATTTCCTGTAAACTGATCAGTCAGAGAAACAGTTAGAAGAGACAGAATATCTTTCTTATTCAGTCCCTGTGATGAGGCACTCAGCTGACTGCTGGTGGAACTATGATCACTCAGTCAGTCAGGGAAGTCCAGATTATAGTTTGGCCCTGGTTTTGCAGTCCAGTCAAAAAGCAACTGTATACTTCTAAACGTTTGTGAAAAGCTTGACATCACAGAACACCCTGCAGCCAGAAACCTTTGCACTGTGTTTCCAGGCTGGTGGTGGTACGTCATCGCGGCTGTGGGTTCAGCGGCGCTCTTAATAACGGTTGTGGTGCTCGTCATCAGATGGAGGAGAAACAAAGGTGGGAACAATCACGGATGAAACTCTTGTCAACAACATGTTTTGATAAACCTGATTTTTCACAGTGGAAGTGAAACAACACTCTTCTTTTGTCTTTTCAGGAATCATACCTCAGACGGAAGAAAACAAGGTCAGTTTTAAAACTGAATGATCAAATGTAAACAGAACTTTACAGAGCAAAGGTCAAAGAATTCAGTTATAAAGCCAGGCAAGTTTATTTATACATCACCATCCAGACACAAGGCAATTCAAAGCCTTTACAGAGGCATGGAAATACATTAAAAAAGAGATGATGTTAAAATAGCATTTAAAAACATTAAAAACACATTTGAACAAATAAAAAATAAATACATGAAATCAGGTAGGAAATTTAGGACACCATTTTAAAAGAGGTGCAGCAGTTTCAGCAGATCTCAGGGGTTCAGGAAGCTTGTTCCACAGGTGAGGAGCAGAGGAACTGAAAGCTGCTTCACCTGGCTGGGTTGTGATGAACTGTGATTGGGCTTCAGACTCTCAGGTGCCCCTCAGTTCACTCTGAGTGATTCAGTTTGGGTGATTAGATTAACTGCTAAATGTTTGTCACTGGGAAGAGAACAGTACCAACTGAAATGACAATGACGTGACTTTAGGGTATCAGCCACTGAGCTGCAGATAACGATGCAAGCTCAGCACACTTCAAACTCAACAGCCAATAGAATAAGGTGGATGAATTTCATACTAGCATGACTCCAGACACCCTGGAAGAGACTAAAAGAGATGTAACATAACTGCTCAGGCACAAAGGTAAAGTGTGGACTGACTCAGTCATCACGTTGTCTTCACTGTGCAGGCTGGTCCTGAACATGGTGTTTCCTACTCCTCCGTCAGCTTCACCAAGGCCACCGACAGTAAAGGCCAGGTAAGTTGTCTGCTGGAACAGAGCTGCTAGTGAATACGGAAATATAACACACTCTGGTGAACTACGCCACATTACGTGCTGTTGTGTTATTTATGGGTTGAACTTTGTCCCTTTTACATCCTGTAGATTCGGGGTGGTGGTGATGCTGTGACCTACAGCACTGTGAGAGCTCCCTCCACTGATCCCAGCAACCTCTACGCCACCGTCAACTAACCAAACAAATGACACATCACAACGTGGTTACACTTCATTCATTTTACAGTTCATTAGTTAAGGCTTTTTGGTGTGAAAGCAAAGTCAGTTTTTATTCCCAGAGTGAGTGTCACCCATTTTATTTCATTCCTGTATGTATTTGGTCTGAGTTTTCCAATATCTTGGAGAATATTTTATAGTTTATCCTCACGTTCTAACTCACTGTTTATTCTGCAGCATTGCTCTGCTTTTGATAAAGCTGCACAACTTCATCCAGCTGTTACTTTCAGGCATTGTGAAGTGTTTGTTTTCATCATGATCAAGTGTTGTAAAATGCCTTGCGTCCAGAAGGGGGAGTTGTAAGTTAAGTTAAGTTGCTACTGCAGTGTAACTGTAATAGCCCAACATTCATATGATATTTCCATATATATAGGGTGCATTTGGCTTAATGAACTTGCTGTCCGGTACATTATTGTGCTGTGATGTATATATTGTTGAGTGATGTTTCAAGGTTTAAGAGTTACTGTAATTTATTTTAAACCTATTTCAAGGATGTTTCACCTGCTTTCGATTTATATGCATGATGCCCCTCCCCTCCTTAACCGTGTAAATATAATGTAGTCATCAGTATTTACGACATTAAAGCTTTTACTAAAACTGATATTCTGCCTGTCTTTTATGATGTGTTTGAATATTATGTTGCTGCTACAATTAATTCTATCATATTATTTTGAATTCATCTATTCTACTCGGACAGTAAACTAACCTTGTCACGCACCTGAAAATATACAAAATGTGCTAAATCAACAGTTGCAACAAGGGGCAGAAAATCCCATTTGTTGCAGATATATCACTTGTTGACGCCTTCGTCCATCACAATTCACCAATCACAGAGCACCGTCACTTCCAAATATGGTAGCGCCTACTCTCCAGCCCGCCCCTCTTTGTTGGCTGGGCCAATGGGAAGCGGTCGAACGTTGGTGGGTGGCGGGGATGCGGGCTACAGGAGGGAAACAGGAGGACGGTCGGTAGCTAGTAGGACCGTTTTATCCCTAATGATTGAATCATGTGAGGCGCCGAAGAAACCGTTTTTAATCAAAATGAAGGCGGATTTTCTGAAGAGGTAGTTGATACCGAGGCGCCGTGCAGGCTGCTGCCGGGGGGGAATGCACCGAGGAGGTCATTTTCCCGGACTGGGGAGGTGGGAGGCAACGGCCCCCGCAGTGTTGTGAGACCGAGGATAGAAGAGCTGTGTCAGCTAGCTAGCTAAAACGGCATAGCTTCCGGGTGGGATTTTCAAAATAAAAAAAGGCTCCCCCCTCACGAGAACTGGATTCGTTCGGTTAAAGTTTCCGAGTTAGTGCTTTTAAAACCGTTACAGACGAAGAAGTGATGGTCTCACGAGTGTACCGCAATGATTGCGTAGTACGTAGTCGTAATATACGCAAGATCCTCAAACGTACTGCTTTTACTTTGAAGTGGAGCCTTCTCTACTTCCCGCCCAACGGCCGTTAGCTGTCGGTCGCTTGACACGTAAAGGAAAGGGGTGAAGTTCCACAGCCTCCGACCAAAACAAGACTTTACAGCCCGTGGTGGACAACGACGCCTTGTTATGAATGGGACCTACCTCGTCTCACTTTGTGCTTTTCGACTCAAACGCCTTTTAAAACCGGAGGGTCCGTCGTCTACCCGGAATCGGAGCCCCGGAGGAAAACACGGTACGGTTAGTTTTAATAACGGCAGGCATATTTCAGCGAATGCACTCGAACGAAAACTCACATATCGATATGAACTTGTTCCTATGGCAACTTCCTCTGTATTACTCTGTGTCTGTGAGTTTGAAAGACGGTTTTGTTCTGTAATATGTCTTTAATTTCATTGTGATGCGGTTTGAAATAGACATTCACAGTGATGAATAAGTTTACAGGGACCTTTTCGGTTGATATCATCAGATTTTTATATGAACCTCTTTGTACTATATCACACATTTTACACCGTTAGTCTAGACCACTTGTGTGATTCTTTTATCTTGTATATATGATTTTAGCTTGAACCATAATGTGCTAAATGTAGGATGTTCTGTTACTCACTTTGGACCCATGATTTCTCCATAGTTGTTGTTATATTTATCCGTTTTACTTAAATTTATTGCAGGATTTATGTGAAAGAAATCGGTCCTGGATGACTGTTGCTTCATTGGAGAGGGTTTTGCCTCCCTATAGGGATTTGTAGTCATGTAGTCAAGGTTTCATACTCTACTGATAAATCATCTTTGTACCAACTAATAGAACTGCATGATTATGGCATGATTATGATTATGATTGTTTTGATCAATATTGAGATCACAATTATTTAACATTACTCATTGACTTTGGAAACCCCACACATTTATTGAACTTTGAAAAAGTTAGCTAGTTAGCTAACTAGATGGATAAATAGATACTCAAGTCAATATTTTGATTGATTGACAAAGAATTTTTTATTTAACAGTTTAGAAAGCCTAGTGTGCAATACAACACATCAACCCTGGTTGCAGCTTGTTGATAGTAAAGCTAATATCAAGCACTACCAGAAAAGAAAAAAATCTAAGATAAAAAAACAGATTTCAAAACAAAAAGCTTTTCCAATTATACAGATATAAGTTAAAGCTATCTGAGTGTGGGCTAGCAGCCAAACAGGGCATGGTCTCTCCAGAAGTCTTGTTGTTGAAAGTGGATGGGGGGATGAAATTTGTTGTGAAACAGAATGCGGCACAATAATCGTTTTATCTCGATTATCCTGTTTTCATAATCGTTGAAAGACAAAACCGTAATAGAAAATAAAATTAGAATAATCGCCCAGCTCTACCAACTAGACTGAAATTATCATATGAAAACACAAGTGTACCTTTATGGAAACATTGTGTAGAAGTGATATTTACCTGTACTGTAGACATCTGATTTGAGGATGCAGAATGTGTTCTGGTTTGAAGGTTTTGGTTTTACTTTCCATGCCAGGTTTCCCCCTGAAGATCAAAATGTACTGTCCCACACTGAGAAACGAAGAGGATCTCTCATAGCTGGAGGAAGATCCCCTGCTCTGACTTTCCCTCCTCCTCTTCCTCTTGACCCTCCTGGGATCAATGACTGGACCGAACTCCCCAAGCCGGACCGGCACCTCCCCGGCCAAGCTGAGCAGGCACGGCCGGTCAAAGAGCACCAGCTCACACTGCCTCCTCCGCTGCAGCACCCAGGAGGATTCCTCCGCCTCTCCGCCTAATAACAGCTCCCGGTCCCCCGTGGAGGAAGAGGAGAAGGATGGAGGGGTCCTCTTCTACGTTAACCGGACCGGCTTTCCCATTGAGAGCGTCACCTGGGAGAGGATGTGGTCCCATGTGGCTGCCGTGCACCCTGAGGGCCAGGAGATGGTGGACAGGATACAAAACGCCGCATACCTTCCCAAGGTAAGCTAGCTGTTAGCGATCTGTCATTCAGTGGTCCTTTAACAAGAGTTTAAAGCTGCAGACAAACAAGACGACATGAGAAGATATTGTTCCAAAGGTTAGTGCTGATCGAACGGAAGCTGGATTTGTTGACCACTTACTAACATATTGAATATTTATATTTTAGCACCTTTGGCTTGTTTCAGTTTGTTGTTTACTTCTGTTAATGAAGTTTGCCTGTGTTTAACTTATGTTGTCATGATTTCCAAACACTTGCTCTTGTCTTGTGTTGTTGACCGTAGCATCAGCACTGTGGAGATCTGTTTGTTGTCTCATTGCTGCTTTGTCAGACCTGTTGACCCGTTTTATAATTGAGAAATACAACAGGAATTAGTAGCATTCATAGCAACAGATAGCTGAAATCCTGTTAGCCTGTTTCTGAAAAGCATGGCATGGTGCTCGTCCGTTTCTGTTTGCATTCAAAGATCTGAGACAGTGAGTGAGTGAGTGACTTCAGACTCAACACACAGTAAAAAAAAAACATATAAAGAGGCAGGTGGTAATATGTGGCTGGATTTTGTATTTAGTCTTTATCAGTGTTAAATGATTAACCTCCATTTTAGGAGCATGAAATCATTTGGTTTAAAACAAGAGAAATCAACACAGTCGTACGTTCACATGACGGCAGCAATACGTTAGAGGTTCGTGGAAGTGCAGTCGGTGTCAATGGGCTCTTTTATGGAGGCTTTCCTCCAGGGTTCCCTGTGGCTGCTGTGTTATGGAGGAATCCAGAGCTGTCCACATCTTTAGAGCAGTGGAGCTACTGCTGCAGGGACCAGATAAGATTCATGGGTGTGAGAGCTCAGGTTTCCTCCTGCCTGAAGTCGGCGCTCACTGTATGGGACTGGTTTCCATTGTGTTTGAGGTTTATGTGTTTACAACACAAATGTCGTCAGGTCTCGGTGCTGCCCTGCTGTGAAGAGGATGATGTCGCTCTGATATTTGCAGCACAGAGTTTATCTGCAGAAACACGTGATTATTTTCACCAACATTTAGTCTGGATTATTTTTAGTCTGTAAAATGGCAGATAATAGTGAATCATTGCTGCCGAGGTAACATCTTCAAATTGCACAATACACAAAAACATGTTGTGATTATTTGGTAGATATTGTGATTTCAGTTGAAATAGTTGTTTTGTTGGTCTTGTACCAAACAAACATGTTTCCTTTACGTCTGGGGAATATGATCTGTAGGTCGGGGCGTCGCTCGTTTTACCTTTATAAAAAAAGAATTGCAGCTTCTGCGATTTTGATATTGCTCTTGGCCATATTGTATATATTTTGATTAGTTGTGCAGCTCTAATACCAAAGATCCCAAAACATTCAGTTCATAAAGAAAACAGATGCTTGGCATTGTTTTTAATTACAGTCAGACGATTAATAAATTATCTAATCTGCTGTAATCTAAGGCTGTGTCTAAATCATTTTTATTTCCAATTAATGGTTTTTCTAATAAAAAGTCAGAACAGTGAAAAACTCCTGAGGTGACGTCCTCACACATCTTTGTTTTTGTCTGATCAACAGTACAAAACAAAGATATTCAAATTACCATCATGTACGACAAAGGAAAGCTTCACATACTCACATTGAGTCCATGTAACAAACAGATCTTCGGCATTTTTGCTGAAAAAAAAAGACTAAAACAAAATTATTAGAACATCAAAATTGTTACTAATTGATTATTTGTCATTCAGCTAATCAGTGCAGCCATAGACTTATCGATTAATCTACCCTACACATATCTACCACAAATATTAATAATAAAATAATGGTTGTTTTAACTTGTACTTGATGACAATATTACGACGTCCAGATGTTCTGTTTGCTCCTGGTTTTTCGCGCTGTCCTGACACCGAGGAGCAAAGTGCGATTGTGATATGAGTCATGGCGTCAGATGATGCGTCTCAGTGTGAGGCGTTTAATCAGTGTGGAGTAGTGTGTGTGTGTGTGTGTGTCTGTGTGTGTGTCTGTATAATGTTACTGTCCTCCACATCTGCACACAGTCGCAGGTGTACACTAACACACATTTTTCACGTTACCACGACAACGAGTCTGCTAAATTGGATCATGAAACCTGTCAAATGGTGTTAACTCTGCTTCTTGGATGTGTCATGACAACCTGGCAGGAGGTTAGAGCAAGAGACGATCTGAACCAATCAGGAGGCGAAACAACACAAACAAACATGAGTGAGTTCATATCAATTTACAGTGTTAGCGTTCAATTCAGTTCATTCAACACAGAATGTTCTGTATGTGATTTACAGTGACGTTAGCTTCACACGACACAGGCTAAAAGACATCAACATGCAGCTTCAAACAAACAGAAGTGGCTGGTTAACATTCCCCCAGCAGACATCCACCGAGGGTTTGGGTGATACCCCGAGCTTATGATATATTAGTATTATATTATTTCACTTTCTGTTTTGTTTTTTGAATATATATATTGTATAACTGGATAACTGCTTAACAACGGTTTGCTGCTTTTTATCATTTAAATAGATGTTTTTATGGTGTGGACTGTTGATTGGACAAAACAAGACACATGAAGACGTCATCTTCATGTTTCCCTGTTTGACTGAAACTGTAACTGACTGAACTAAGACAGAAGCAACTCAACACACACAATTCACATCTTTGTCTGCTGCTCTTCGGCCCCTCAGTCCAGATCCTCCTCAGTTTTCTTCTCAGTGATTTTGGGTGAACGCTTGTTGTGTTTCGGGCGGGGGAGGAGGGAATCTGGTTCTCCTTTAGCTCTGCTAATTGGCCATGTGGTCATTAGTGACCCGGTTGGCCGGCAGTGCCAAAGTCCCGTGGTGTAGTCCTGGGCAGAAGGACGGCGGGAGGACATGCACACTCAGATTCAGAGTGTGCACGTGTGAGCCCTCTGTCTGTTGTGTTTGCAGAAGGACAGCATGTTTTCTAATGTAGGATTTCGTAGCTTGTGAGCATCATGTCGGCAGCGTCTGCCGTCACTGTAGGAGTGTGAAACCAGGCGAGTGCTGTAGGACAGTCTGTGTTTGAATAAAAGAAAACTTCCAGCCTCCACCTGGAGGAATTCAACGGCAACTAATGAGAACAAAATGTAATAATATTTTCATTTTCATAAACACAGCGACGCTACGTTTCACTGTTAAACACATTGTTAAACTGACCGTACAGTAAATGTTCAGTGGACAGAGCTCATCATGTTCTACCCTGCTGTCTGCAGGACAGGAGATGAATACATGTTCATAAGGTGTCTGTTTGTTTACATTGCAGTATTGTTGTATTGTTGATATGCAACCTGATTCTAGTGTGTGTGTGTGTGTGCGTGCGTGCGTGTGTGTGTGCGTGTGTGCGTGTATAAACAGGTGGTTACCACAGTTACAGTTGCTGAGCCTTTAGAGAGGGAGGAGGAGGAGGAGGAGGAACTTTGTTAGTGGCTATAAGTCAAATGTCAGAATCAGCCCGGCTGGTGGAGTGTTGTTGTGACTGCAAACTTGTAGCACTTGGCAATAATCAATAATAAGTAATAAATGAGACTGGTGGTGAGAAGAGTAACGTCAGTGTTGATGGACTACTGCAGGATACAAGTCAGCGAGGACTCAGAGGTCACATGTGGACGAGCCTTCACCCAGTGTCAGCCTGTGTTGTTGTCAGTGACCAAGCACATGCTGCCACTCTCTGTGCCCTCATTAACAGAATAGAAGTCTGGCCACAGGCAGCAAATAATCCCTCTAATACAATCAGGGTAGTGGATAATCTCTGGATGCCAACTGGAATACCTAAGGGACTTTTCATGGGAAACAGAACTGGCCACAGCTCGTCTGATCAAACATCTCCGTCACAGCTCTGAGGAAAAGAGTTCAAGATCCAGATTCAGTATTTCTCTGAAATAAAGATGATTGAAAGTATTGTGAGGAACAGATTACACCTTCTGTCAACGATGTACAGTAACGAGAAAGCAGCGAGATGAAGTGTCACAGCTGCACGACAGGTGTGACGAGACGACCTGTTATTTTACAGGTTTTCTCTGTGTGTGTGAGCGAGTGTTACCTACGCCACCGTCCGGATTAAATCAGGACTGTTCGTCTGCAGAAGTTCACGTCATGTCGGATAATTCAGGACAAACGGCTTGTTTTGGACTGGACGCTGATACTTATGGACGCCTGCCAACACGGATTAGTTTAGACAGATGTGCTCTGAGGCAAAGAACTACAGTCTGCAGCCATGATCTTCAAGGAGGTGTCCTTTAGTGTGAAAGGATGATTGCAACGCACGCACACACACACACACACACACGCACACACACACGCACGCACTCAAAGAGAGAGGCAGGCGTTCCTGGGGATGTCCCGCTCTGGAGATATGGTGACAGCAGGAAATACGATCCTTCTCTCTCTCCATCTTGTCTGGTCGTTTCCATTTTTAATGCAGAAGTGCTTTAAAGGTAACGGAGGTCTCCGCTCTCTGTGACACGTCTTCACCTCGGTGTGACTCACCCGGTGCTTCGGTCATGTGTCGATGCTGTAATGATACGGAGACACAAAGCTGCGGCGCTGTGGGAAAATAAGCCTTCATGTAGAAGGTGAGCGAGTTGAAGTTCTACTCTGTAACTTCTCCACATGAAAACGTCTAAACACAACTCGACCTCTGGTCTATATGTTGGTGAGTCGTGTTCTTACATCATCACAAATGTTTCCATCAGTTCTCAAACTAGAAATCTGTGACTTTAATCATGGTGACGTTTCATTGGTCGCCTGTCAATGACATCATATCCTCTAAGGTCACGGGTCGTTGTTGTGGTTTTAAGTCTCATGTTTAAGATTCTCTGTTTCCACCTCGGTGGTTTTCAGCTCTGACTTTAAATGTGAAGCTGCTTCATTCAGTGTTTTTAACAGTTAGACTCACCTGAACCACTGAAGGCATCACAACAACAACTCCCATGATCCCACGCTGCTTCATGACGTCACCCACCGCCGTCTTTTGTTCTTGTTTTGATTGAGAGACTTCTGTTGACCGGAGTTACTGACTGTGTGACATAAATCCACTGTTTTACTTCTTCATATGTTGTATAATGTGTCTCTAACAGGCAGCCTGGAGAACCACATGAGTTTTGTTTTGGCTGCTCAGATGAGTAAAGAGACCTGAGTTCTCTCTGTACTTTCATTAGTATTGAGCTGCACCTCTTTAACTTAACAATTAAAGCAATTAAACAGTTAAAATGAACTTCTTTTACTTTTGCTCTCCTTCTGCTTCATATTGATCTTGTCATGCTCTTTCTTACTTGGTTTGAAACCACCTTCTGCTCCCCATCCCCCCATTTCCCTTTAGAACAATTCAGAATTCAAAGCCAGGAAGGTCATAACGGACAGAGCTCCTTCTTTTCTCCCTCTCTCTGCTTTATCTTTGCCTCCCTGTCTCTGCTTCTCTGGTTTCAGCCCCTCCATGTTTTTTCTGTCTGCTGCAGATCAGATCCGTCCTCAGGTTAGTCGTAGAGCTCCAGCAGAAAGGAGGCAGTCAGAGGACTCTTAGACCCAGCGGGAGGGGCTGAAGCTGGGCAACTGAGGCCAGCCTGCCCCCTGGTTCTGGAGTGGAGCGCTGGTGGGAGAAAAACGAGAAAGAGCTGTGTAAAAAAAAAAAAAAGCATGATGGAGGTGATGAGGAGGGGAACAAGGGAAAGGGAAGGAAAAAACAAAAAGGAAGGCTTGCGATAACTGAAGGGAAAGGATGAAGAGAACAGGGAGGAGACGCTAACAGGAGGAGGAGCGGGTGAAAACAGGAAGGGAGGTAGAGACGGATTAATTACCAGTCTAAACTGGGACGATGAAGAGATGCTCTCCCAGTTGAACTCTGAATGTCTTGTGTTGTGTTTGTGTTTGCAGTACAATGTCAGCTGCTGGTTTACATGTTCCTGTTTTAGCCGTTTAGCTGCCCGAGTTTCCCAGAGTTCACGCTGCTCCCTGGACATGAAATCTAAAAACTAAAGTGGACAGAGTGTTTGCAGTCAGGGCCTGGAGGAAATCAGGTCTGCTGAGTCCGTAACCTCTTTTAAGACTCTCCTTAAAACTCACTTTTATCAGAGAAACTTCCCTGGTTTCACTTTCCCTTGGCTTGTTTTATGTCTCTGCTTTTTAAAGACCTGTTTTATCTGTTATCTGCTATTGATTTCATTGATTTTATTTCTTGCTTCCTTCGTCAAGCACCTTGTAACATAGCTTTTGAAAAGTGCTCTGTACATAAAGATTATTGTTATTATCATTGACTGACATGTGCTGACTTTCATATGAGAGCTGAAGCTGAAACGCCTTAGTGCTGTGGTTGTCCTGCCTGAAACAACACAACTGCTCAGGTCCGGTGTCGGACTGAAGAGCTGACTTCACCTCCCTGCATTTTAAAACTGAGCCTTGTTGAATGGGAGCTGTGAATGTGATCACAGCAGCAGAAAGATGGCAGCTCTCACCGACGTTCCTCTGCAGCCGAGGATGATGAAAGTGAGGGATCACCACTCGTCTCACTCCCTGACCAGCAGAAAGCTGCTTTAGTGTGTGTGTGTGTGTGTGTGTGTGTGTGTGTGTGTGTGTGTGTGATGTGAGATTATATGGCAGTAAAATCTGCTATTTACTGGTGTTGGCTGGCAGATTGGTTTGTGGACTGTGGACAGGCTGGATAAGTAGAGGGCGATCAGGTGACTGATTTCAGCTGCTCGGTGACGACTGACTGGTTGTCTGTTGTCTGACCTGCTGTTTGCGTTAAAGGAGTGATTGATGATTTGAGGATCGTTTGCAGCCAGATTCACATTCATTTGATATTTTACCAAGTGAGGAACTTGACCTGCGGTCAGGGGAGATTAAACAACAAACAACTCAAGTGCCACAAAACAATAAAACACAGAACACAGAAAAAACATCAGACACTAAAACACATCACAAACAACTTAAAAAAGAAAACAAGCGCAGACACAAACCAGCACACCTGCTGCAGGTGGCTACGAGAGCCAGGAAGAGCTAACAGGCGTGTGTGTGAAGAGTCCCATAGTGTTTGTCTTCTTCTACAACCTCACACTTATTCATGGAAGACGACACATGTAGAGACTGTACCACAGTTTATAAAGGTCTTATTTAAATAATCTTTGTAGATCATATAGATTATATCATAAACAACAAAACCTGCATCAGAACCTTCCCTCCATGTCGTCCTGTTGACTTCCTCCTTTTATGTTGTAAATAAACAAGTAAAAACCCACAGGAAGTGATGCTATGGTTCACCCTTCCTGCGTGACCACATGCTCAGAAACACAGGGTGTCAGAGGAAGCGTTGGTTTGTGTTGGGGTCTGACTCACTCTGCTGGCCCGGTCACGTCCTCGGGAAGCCTCGACTCTGAGGCCAGTTTCCTCTCCGCAGCGTTTCTGGTGGAGGTGAAACTCCAGCCTGGTCTCAGGCTCGCCACAGAACAGCACTCTGGGTTATTTCCTGTGGTTGCTGTCAGCTGTGTGATACACGTAAATACACTGATCAACTGCTGCTGTAGCAGAGGTTACTGTTACTGTTCAGAGCTTTGATCCTGACAAGAATAACTTTTTACACATGGACAGTTTTAGAGGTTGTGACAAATCTAAAGATGAAGTAAATATTGCATCAAGAAATCTTTTGATCTCCAGTCCATATTTCCTTTATTACTGTGGTTCACGTCTCCCTGACGACCTGAGAGCAGCAGGAAGTGTTGATGCTTTTAAAAGCAAACTCAAGACCGACTTTTTATTCTGTCTTTTAATTGAATTTTATTGATTCATCTTTCTACTGATTTATGTATTTAAGCTGTTTTACTGGTATGTCCTTTTATTCTATATTTATTTTATGGACTGTTTTCCTTTCTCTCGTTTTATTATTCTATTACTTTTATCACTACGAGTCACTGAGGACAGAGATCTGCAGCTCTGAACGTCGCCACACGTTGATCTACAGGAAACCATGTGACACACCTGTCTGTCTGTGTCTCTGTTCCCGCAGCACCCCGTCCCCTCCGTCCCCACCTTCAAACCGTCCATGTCCGTCCCAGACTGGCTGGTGGCCATCCAGAACTACATGAAGGCCCTGCAGTATCCTTTAACGCCACGCGTGACGACACATGTTGCCATGGCAACGTGTGTCACGGTGAGAGCTACGCCTGTCAGGTGACGTTAGTTCTGTTTGGGACGTTTCTATAGACCTTTAGATAATTACTGACACCAACATGACACTTATGGAATGTCATTTTTATCAATATGAAATAAACAAATAAATGTAAATATAAATATACAAGTGAGTCAATAAATAAAGAAACAGATAAACAGATAAACAACAACGACTCCACATGTTCTGTTGTCCCTAACGTGTCTCTCAGATACAACCACACAGGAACACAGTTCTTTGAAATCAAGAAGAGCCGTCCTCTGTGTGGGTGAGTGTGCTGCAGAAATGACGTGTGATTATATGTTATAATCAGATTAACATCATCAGATTCTTCTCAGGTGTTCACACTGTCTCACGCACTCTGACATTCTGTCAAAGTTTTATTTATTATTTTATTATGATTTATATTATTGAAACTGCTGCAGCTGAGCTGTGGTGTGTTCAGAGGCTCTGTAGATACGTGAGTTCACAGCCTGCAGTAGTGACGGGCGGTGAACGGTGTCATGTTCTGCCACGACATGGACTTAACACAGCAGAGATCTACTTCCCACAATACCTGGCGAGCCGTCACACCCACAGGTGACAGACAGGTAACATCCTGAAGCTGAGCAGGCAGCGGGCTTTTGTCGTCCTTCCATCATCTCCGTTCAGCAGATTGTGTTTCAACCGGTCTGAGAGAAAACTGGACGTTTTCAGACTTTAAAAATCTAGTACGTGGCGGCAGGACTCGGCCAATCACGGGTCTTTTCAGAAGCCCCCTTTACTCAGGATCAACAGCGGTGTGAACGGAAACAACCAGCAATCACTCCCGGGTCAAATGACTCTGCACTGATCGGCACTGAGGGAAGTCTGACCTTGTGTTTGAAGGTCATGTGACCCGTTTAAATCCTCATGTAGCTGCTGTTTTCCCATGAATTCAAAAATAACAACTCTATCTCCACATTTCTTCCTGCTTCTTCTTCACCTCCTCTTCCTCACCCCTGCCTCCTCCCGCTCTCACCCACCCTTCCCCTTTTTCTCTCTTCCTCCCTCCTCCTCCAGGTTAATGGAGACAGCGAGAGAGATGATCAGGGAGTCTCTGCCAATCAAATGCCTGGAAGCTGTCATCCTGGGAATGTATCCTTCACACACACACACACACACACACACACACACACACACACTCTGGACCAAAAGGTTATTTTGTTATCTCTGGGTGAAATCAATAACACATGTTGTGTCTAATGCCCCCCCACCCACCGCTGCCACCCTTTCCAGCTCTTACCAAACCGTGTTGCCTGGCAACAAGCCCACTTCAAAGTTTAACCCCCCCCCACACACACACACACACACACACACACACACACAGCTCAGTATGATCCGGCAGAGCTGAGCTTTTAAAGCAGCCGTTTCTAACGTTTCATTTAGTGAGAATCTTCAACAGAATTGATCAGCTTCAGTTTGATATCAGAAACTGATCAGATTATTCACCAGAAGTTCAACACCCATTCAACAGCCAGTGTTTGTGAAGCCACAGTGTGGACTGATACGTAAATTCTTCAGTGAATTTCTGGAGCCATAATTAAGATCATTAAAAATGCTGAGGGACGCCACGACCTGGTTTGTTGTGTGTTCGCAGGTCAGCTTCTCAATTTACACATTTCACTGTAGATTAGAGTTTTTAAAATGAATCGTTAAAAAAATGTTCAAATGTTCAATTCAACGGGAAAAATCAGGATTTCAACTCCGTACTTTACTGCGATCACATCAGAGACAAAACAGCAGCAACATTCATTCACACATTTCACATTTGTTACAAGATACTAATCTCTGTCCAAATATGTAGAGTAAACTTTCCTTTTCTTTCTTTATTCGGATCTCCATCAGCTTCCCGGGCCCACACACACACACACACACACACACACACACACACACACACACACACACACACACACACACACAAACACAACAAACACATTAAAATCACACTGTATCTATAAAACAGAAAGAAAACAAACAAGCCAAACAACGAGGATTAAAATGACTCTACATGTAAAACAATAAACAATATGAACTTACAGTGAAAACTGAATCAGGACTGTCACAAATGCACATTAACAAGAAGAAGGTGTAGATGGGCCGGTTCCAAGCAGAAGAAGAGCTGTACAATAAACATACACAGTTTATACAGAGACAGACGCAGATCATTCACAGACAGACATTTTACACTTTCACTCAAAAAGAAAAAGCAAGTGTCTTTTAAAATGTTCCAGTGAAATAAGAGAGAGAAGCTCAATGTCTGAAACCAGTTGTTCTGCGTGGAACAAGAGGAACAGCTGAGGTGAAAGTGACCTGTGACCTGCAGTTACCTGCTCAGACAGGAGCTGCTTCTCTCACATCAACAGATGAGAGTTAGTTTCTCAGTGTGTCTGTGGCGGGATGGTCCAGTTTCACATGTGCTGGTGTCGGTGGCGTTCCTCCAGAGGCCGTGAGGGCGGCAGCTGACAGTGACTTTAATGTAGAGCGGCTGCAGATGAAGGGAGGAGAGAGCGTGGCAGCAGCTCGTACAGAGAGAGGCTGGTTCTCTGCCGCCCTTCAGTCAGCCTCACTCTGTGTCAGTCACGCCAGCGAGGGGCGGTGTCACCTTTCACCGCGCCCCCAGGTCGTCCACGCTATAAAAAGAACCCAGGCCCCAGCGAGAATTGAACTCGCGACCCCTGGTTTACAAGACCAGTGCTCTAACCACTGAGCTATGAGGCCTCACCTGTTCACACAGACGAATCTTTGACCTTTCAAATGTTGACAGCGGCAGCGGACACACCCTTCTCACATACCAGCTATTGTTGAGATAAGGTGATACCAACCTGACCTGTCAGCTCTGACGTCACGTCTGCACATCCTGCTCCACGGCCAGGCACCTCCACCGCTTCATTTATTAAAACTGAATCATTTAATGTCAAATCAATCTGATTTCAAGTCACAATACAACAAAAAAGTTGTTTTTAAATCTTGTCAGCACCAGAAATAAACCTGATACTCCGACCAGAAACATCTCCGACGCTTTGTTACTGCGAGTAAAGAGTAAGATGGAGGGAGGACAGGAACAGAGAGGGAGGAATAAAACTGTTCTTGTAGCTTGTGGCAGTTGGAGCTGTCTGTCTGCCTGTCTGTCTGTCTGTCTGCCTGCCTGTCTGTCTGTCTGTCTGTCTGTCTGTCTGCCTGCCTGTCTGTCTGCCTGTCTGTCTGTCTGTCTGCCTGCCTGTCTGTCTGTCTGCCTGCCTGTCTGTCTGTCTGTCTGCCTGTCTGTCCTCTGGTTCCTGTCCTCCCCGTCAACACAGATCTGAATTCTCCCCAGGATGTTCAGGGTTTATCTTGGGTCACACCAACAGCTGTGTGTGTGTGTGTGTGTGTGTGTGTGTGTGTGTGTAATATATAAAGCAGAGGTCTTCAACCTTCGTCACTCTGAGAGCTCCTCGTGTCAAAACGCTCAAACTGATCTCTGAAACCGATCAGATCAATATGTTCATTTATCAAGTCATCAATTATCAGTATTCGTTCACACATCTGGAACTCACCTCAGACAGAAACCCAGAGTCGTGCTTCAGTCGGACCTGAACACAGACACGAGAACACGTCTGTGAACAAAGAAGAAGAAGC